ATTTAGGTGTCATGATAATAAAAACAATGCAGATTGTTTTTATTAGAACTGAACCAAACATATTCTTTTAAAAAAAGATTTATTTTTAGAGAGAGGGGGCAGGAAGCATAAAGAGAGGGAGAGAAACACCAATGTGTGGTAGCCTCTCATGCACCCCTAACTGGGGACCTGGCCTGCAACCCAGGTATGTGCCCTGACTGGGAATCGAACCAGCGATCCCTTGGTTTGCAGGCCCATGCTCAGTCCACTGAGGTACACCAGCCAATGCTGAACCAAACATTCTTAAAGACAGCCTGAAGACTAAACATACACTCACTGTGAGATTACTTGTCCCTTTTCATTTAGCACATGGACAGCACACAAGGTAATAAGTTCCACTGATGGCACATATGTACTGGGTGAGAACTAACACAGAGACTGTAATGTTTTTTGAGGGAAGAAAGTACCTGTTCCAGTGTCATGGATGAGGCACAAATGACACCAGTCAGCAAGTCAGTCCTGGTGAAGTTTCATCATATGGACTGGACCCTTTGGTCCACAAAACTGAATTAACTTTCTTCTTCTCCTAGTGAGAGCAGTTGTTGAAAGGACAAAGCCAGTGGCATTTGCTATAGTGGTGCCATTTGCCTTGCAGGCCTATGACCCTGTTAAACATGACTGCCATTTTACTCTTCTTAGCTTGTCCCCAGGAAATTATTGGAAAGCAAGAACACATCATGCCTAACCCCTCCTTACAGCCACAGGCAGAAGATAACATTGGAACAAACTGCTCCAACAGCCCAGAGGCCTCACAACAGCACCTCCCCTTTTAACATCTAATTATAATTCAATAAAAGCTCAAAGCCCCTATCTGCTGTGCTGGTATATATCTCTATACCATACCCCTCTCCTTTCTTGGAGAGTGAACAAAAACTTTACTCTCTGTACTTTCTTTTCTTTGTGAATTCTTTCACAGCCTGCATCACCCTAACAGTTACGAATAGGAGAAATTGAGTACCCAGTTGATTGTATTCAGGTATTTACATGCCAGCTGATTGTGGTTTTCTCCCTTCTTGCATAGAGCTAGATAAAGTTGGTACATAAAAGGAACTGAAAACCTTAACCTATGCCATTCAGGCATCTGTATACTCATGAGGAGAAGTACAAGTATTTGTTTACCCGTTAGCATTTTTTGGTGCATTCTGTGCCAGGCACTCTTCTAGGTCATGGGAATAAAGCAGTGAACAAAATAGGAAAGGTTGCTGCTTTTATGGAGTTTACATGATAGTGGGGGAAACAGTAACAAATAAAATAATGTCAATAGGTTATAAGAAGTACTAAGAAGAAAAATAAGGTACAGTTAAGGGATAGTGATGGACTATGCCATTTAAAAGTCAGGGATAAGGAGAGTTCTGGTCAAGATGGAGGTGTAGGTAAAAATACTTTGCCTCCTTGTGCAACCACAGGAAGAATTCCAATTGGGTCTCAAAACAAATAACACCCAGAACTGACAGAAAATCTAGATGTATAGAAGTCTGACAACCAAAGATTTAAAGAAGCCACATTCATCTAGATGGGTAGAAGGGGTGGAGATGCAATGTGGTGTGGAAAGGCAGCAGCAGCAGAATGAGCAGTCCAACATTCATGTGTGGTGAATAAAAATCAGGAGGGATACCTTGGGAGTGAATGATCCTAGGTCTAGGCCAGACTGCACAGCCCAGGGTTCCAGGGCCAGGAAGATAAGTCCCCATAACTTCTAGCTATAAAAACCAGTGGAAGTTGGAGTGGTGGAAGAAACTGCCACATTTTCAGGAAACTCTGCTTAAAGAGTCCACACAGACTTAAAATTTACACAGACCCATCCTGTGTGGGACTCAGCAACAGGACAACAGTTGGAAGGGCGTCAGTCCACAGCATGAGTGCTAGACAAATCTCCAGAAGCCAGGCAGCAGCATTGTCTCCTCTTTGAGCCTTCTTGCCACACAGAACCACAAAGCAGTGAAGCAAGTTGCCCTACCCTGGCAATTACCTAAGTCTCTGCCCCACAATTTATAGGAGCCTTTTCTAAAATAGGCCCTTCTACTATGCTACTAAGATAGGGAGTCAAAGCAGCTTTACCTAATACACAGAAACAAATACAGGGAGATGCCAAAGTAAGAAGACAAAGAAATATGACCCAAATAGCAGATCAAAACCCCAGAAAAATAACTAAATGAAATGGAGATAACCAATCTGTCAGCTGCAGAGTTCAAAACACTGGTGATCAGGATGCTCAAAGACTTCACTGAGTATGGCAACAAAATAAAAAAGACCCAGGAAGAAATGAAGGTTGCACTAAGTGAAATAAATAAAAATCTGCAGGGTACCAACAGTGGAGATGAAGTTGGGATTGAAATCAACGATTTGGAACATGAGGAAAAAATAAGCATTCACCGAGCACAGCAGGAAGAAAAAAAGATTTTAATAAAACCTCACAATGATGTAAGGTATCTCTGGGACATCTCCAAAGGTACCAACATCCAAATCATAGGGATGTCAGAAGGAGATGAGGAAGAGCAAGAAACTGAAAACTTATTTGAAAAAAATAATGAAAGAAAACTTCCCTAATTTGGTGAAGAAATAGACAAGTCCAGGAAGCACAAAGTCCCAAACAACTTGGACCCAGGGAGAACCACACCAAGATACATCATAACTAACTTGCCAAAGGTTAAAGATAAACAGAGAATCTTAAAAGCACAAAGAGAAAAGCAGAGTTACCTACAAAGGAATTCCCATTAGACTGTCAGCTGGTTTCTCAAAAGAAACTGTAGGTTAGAAGGGACTGGCAAGAAGTATTCAAAGTGATGAAAAGCAAGGACCTACCACCTAGATTAGTCTATCTAACAAAGCTATAATTTAGAATGGAAAGGCAGATAAAGTGCTTTGCAGACAAGGTAAAGCTAAAGGAGTTCATCATCACCAAGCCATTATTACATGAATTGTTAAAAGGACTTATTCAAGAAAAAGAAGATGATCAAAACTATGAATAATTAAAATGACAACAGATTCACAACTATCAACAACTGAATCTAAAAAAACAAACTAAGCAAACAAGAACAGAGACAGAATCATGGACAGAGAGGGATTTGATGGTTGCTCAGTGGGAGTGGGCAAATGGGTGAAGAGGTGGGTGATTATGAGTACAAATAGGTAGTCATTGAATAGCCATGGGGATGTCATGTACAGTATAAGAAATGGAGTAGCCAAAGAACTTACATGCATGACCCATGGACATGAACAATGGTGTGGAGATTGCCTGAGGGAGTGCGTGGAGGGAGGAAAAGGGGGAAATCATCGGGACAACTGTAATAGCATAATCAATAAAATATAATTTAAAAAAAGTCTTATTCAAAGTCAAAGCCAAATATAAAAATAGAAATGATAAGAACATCTCTGAAGTGGTGTATTTGAGCAAAGATCTGAATGAAGTGCTAAACATGGAGTTCTTCAAGAAAAACTTTATTATATATGTATACATACCATATAGTCCATATAATAAAATAACTTGAGAATGATCATGAAGCAACATGTCAAACATCTCAACCCTGTAATATATGCAAGGTGTTTGAGGCACAGATCAAATAATAAGTGATGAAGCATGACTGAATACCCAGCAAACTTAATGTAGCTTCAAACCATATTCATAACAGCGTCTTACTAAATTCAGCTTTATTCCATCATGATGGGGATAAATCATATGCGTTTAACATGGATGAGCACATGACAAAATAGGATTTGGGTGCTCCGTGTAGTTTTTGCAAGATCATGAAGTTGGACACCAGTATGGTGATCAGAACTTTTTACAAATGAGGCCTTTTTTTTTTTTTAAATACATGGAGAGTTATTTCAGGATACGGTATGTTACAGGTTGAATTGTGTGCCCTCTCCCAATTCATATGTTGAAATTTTAACCCCAAAACCTCAGAATATTACCTTATTTGAAAATAGGGTTGTTGTAAATGTAATTAGTTAAAATAAAATCATAGTGGAGTAGGATGGGCCTCTAGTCCAATTACGATCTTATAAGAGTGTCAAGTGAAGGGACCTGCACACATAAGATGCCATGTGAAGAATGCAGTTATGGCTGTCATGGGCCAAGGAATGACAGATCACTAAGTAGCAGCTAAGAGAGGCATGGAAGTTTCCCTCACGGTTCTCAGAAGGAACCAACTCAGCTGACACCTTGATCCTTGACTTCTAATACATTTCTATTGCTTTTACCACCTAGTTTGTGGCATTTTGTTTTTGCAGCCCTATCAAAGGAATACATGGTGGAAAGAATGTGATGTAAACCTAGATTCAATTTAAAAAATTATTGACTTTAGAGAGAAGATGGGGCAGGGGAAAGAGACAGACATGGATTTGTTGTTCCACTTATTTATGCATTCACCAGTTGATTCTTGCATGTGCCCTTACTGGCATCAAATCTGCAATCTTGTTGCATCTGGATGCTCCAACCAACTTGCAGATTCCTGGCCAGTGCTGAACCTAGAGTTTGATCTAATGTTTTTTCCATTGCATAGTACCTTTCTGAATTTTGAAAAGTAATTTTAACACTCATGTTTAGTTAGAATTCAATTTAGAATCACTTTTACTTTATATTATCGTTTTGAGGATTAAACAAGTTACTAAATATGTGAGTGCTTGGCACAAGCACTGAAAGTAGGCCCTGAAAATGATGATTCCTTTCCCTTCTTAGATTTGTGACACCTCATTATGCACTCATTTATTCAGTGACTGTTGTGGAATCCTAAATATATCCATGAAAAATTACCTTAGTTAACAATATCCTGTTTCTCCCAAACTGTGGACGCTGAATTGCAAAAGAACCCACACATTAGCATGAGTTAGCTGAAGATACATGGTTCTTAAAGCTTTCCATCAATGAGCAATGCCCAGTATGTCCTTGCGCAAATTAGGTGACCACTAAAACTGCTACTTGAATGTTTTCCACAACTTCCAACAGTGTGAAGGCCTTGGATCATCTTACATGATGACTGTTAACAGCGATAAGCTTTTATTATACTCACTGCAGTCATAACTTAAGGTTTTATTTCACATACTTTTAGGTTATTTGGATCACCAAATACATTAAATTTGTTTCTTGTCTAACAATATTAGTGCTTCTTGAATTCGAATGCTGAGGTTTAGTTTTTAAAGGAGAGGGCAAGAAAGGTGACCCAGATAGGAGAAATGCTTTCATGCTCTTGATTCACTGCAGTGAGCTTTTCACGCGCAGTGGGATCTGGACTCATTTACTATGCAGATTTCCCAGCTTGGCTCAAAGCCAAAAAAGCTTTTCGCAGTGAGCAGCTGATTTCGTTTCTCTTGTGAGCCAATGGTGAACGGATACTTCAGAAAGGACGCTGGCTGAGTCACCTTCTGCAGATAAGCTGAAATATTAATAGTATCTCGGCCGGGCTCCGAGCAGCAGCAGCAACTAGCCTCATTGACAACGCCCGCCCGCGGCCCAGCCGGCTGTAACGGCTGAACTGGCCCCGAGAGTAGGGGCCTGCGGGAGGATGCATGGGAGCATGCGGTGCCGGAGCACCGAGGGGCACGACCGCGGTGAGTACCTGCGGCCCCACACCCCAGGGTCTTCCCAGACGAGCGCGGACGACGAAACTAGGGCCCAGTGATTATCGAGAACAGGGAGGGTCATTGCGATTCAGCCAACGTCGCGAACGACTACCGGTTCCCCTCGAGAGCCCGGCTCGGTAGGCGCGGGCGGCAGTGTGGAACTTCCGGCAGCAGCCGGAGACCGAGGCGGTAGTTCCGCAGAGCGGCGGAGCCCGAGAGATACTTCCGGCTGCACTGAGGCGGATGAAGCCAGGCGGAATTTCAGGGGACAAGGCGGGACTTCCTGCGGACCGGAAGTAGGGCCAAGGCGTCCGGATTTCCGGTGTCATGGGCGGGGCTTCTGGCCCCCCCAAGGCGGGGCGAGGCCGGGACTTCCGACGGCGCCGGAAGTGCGGCTAGTCTGGCTGCCGCGTAGTGGAAACGGATCCGGACTGAGTCAGTGTCCTGCGTCTCCGCGTCGGTCCCGGCTCCGTGTGGTTGGGAAGTGACGGGGGGCAGGGCAAGGCCCGGCAGGCACTAGGCGGCTGGCTCGGCGGCGGTGTGATTGGTGAGTGCCGGGGCGGCCATCTTCCTTCCGGGACGGGCTACCCTGGTGAAGCCGTCCGCGGTTCCCCCGGGGTGGGGGTACGCTGTGGAGTCCGTTCGCCCCCCGCCTTCCCGAGCTGTCCCATGGACTTCGTTGCCCCAATCCGTGCCCGTGCGTTCCCCGACTCTATGCACCCTGGCTGGCTCTTCCAGCCCTGCTGTGGGTGAGGTCCCGGGAGGGTGCACTGAGCCTCGCAGCGATGCCTGGAGACCTGGTGTCGCGGGCGTCAGTTACAGTTTGCATTGCCGGGGAGATTGCGTCCCTCAAAGCACGTGTGGCGTGGGCAGGTGCGGAATGGTCAGGGGAGAGGGGTCCTCCACAGAACCCCACGGCCGGGCAAGGGGAAGCTGCGCCGGTGTGGGAGAGCGCAGTGTCGGTACTTGAGGTTTAATCGGCCGCCGTTTAAGTCCAGTGTGCTGGTCTACGCGTTTGACCCTGGGATTACCGTCCAGCGAATGAACAAATTCTTCAGGTAGTCGCGTACCCCAGGTCTGGCCTCCTCGCCGGGTCGTGAGCACTTTCTGCAAGCTTCCTTTGCAGTTTGGGGCACCTCCAGGTCAAAGGGTTGTCAGCCAATCACTTCTGAAGTGTCTAAGGGAGGTGGAATAATGCGGTGACCGTTAACCCTCGTTTCTCTGTTAGTACTGCCCAAGGAGAGAGGTTAGTGAATCTCCTGGCTAACTGCGGTGCGACCTTAGGTAAGGAACTTCCTCAGTCTCCGTTCTTAGCCTTGTTTTGTTATTGAGAAGGTTATGTTTCAATATGATCGGTATTCTTGCAAAGTCCTTGACACAGGGCATTTTTGTTTAGTATGCTTCCTTCCTCTTCTGGATAGCATTGTCAGACTGTTCACTTGAATATGCACCTACCTTGCACCCTTAAGTCCTCCCCCCTACCTCCAGGTGATACCAAGAGCTCTCTGAATATTATGTGTTGGTTTATCTAAGGGCAGTATTTTACGTTTATTAAGTTTCACCCTAGATTTTGGGTTCATTAAAAAATATGTTTATCGCTCAATCCATTGAGCTGGTGTAGCTCAATGGATTGAATGCTGGTCTTCAAACCAAAGGGTCGCCGGTTTGATTCACTGTCAGGGCACTTGCCTGGGTTGCAGCCCAGGTCCCCAGTTGGTGGTGAGCAAGAGGCAACCACACATTGATGTTTCTTTCCCTCTAGTTCTCCCTCCCTTCCCCTCTGTCTAAAAATTAATAAATAAAATATTTAAACATGTTTATTAATTGAGAGAGAAAGAGAAACATTGATTGATTGCCTCCCATTTGCATCCGCACCAGGGATGAACCCGCAACCTAGGTACCGTATTTTGCCATGTGTAATGCACTCCCATGCATAATGCACACTCGTTTTTGTACTGTTATACCCATGCCATTTAATCATTATACCCATGTATAATGCGCGTCTTATTTCCTTCAAAAAATGTGGGCAAAAAGTGCTCATTTTACATGGCAAAATACGGTGCTCTGACTGGGAATTGAACCCCAAACCTTTTGGTGTTTGGGGGGGTGGGCAACACGATGACCACAATGCTCTAACCAGCTGAGCAACACTGAGCCACACCTGCCATGTCCAGCTCATGTTTTTAAAAACTGCTATTAAGATCTTAAAAAATTCTTGGTGGTTATTTGTCTTTCAGTGATGTCCCTTAGTTCACTGTTGTTCACAGATTTGATGAGGGTGTGTCCTATGCCTTCATCCGATCACTAAGAAAACATTTAAAGCAAGTGAGACTGCTGATAGATTTTTGAGATTACCTCTCTGCTAATACTACTCAGTTGTTGAGTTTGGTGTTTCAGCCTGCCAGGAATTTACCTAATGGCTTTCATGATGAAATGTTATGAAAAATTTAATTGAATTTCTTGTGGAAATTCAGTCAGATTTTCTATTTTTAAATGTCACATGAAAATTATGTTCTTTAAACATTATTTTGCATATGATTAATATTAATGAAATTAACTACTTAAGCAAGTGTTTTTCTCTTGCTAACAAGTTTAAAAATCCCACTGGATATGAAGATATGAGTTGTGTTTTGTCTGTGGGTGGTAATATGCATGTGGCAGCATATACTAAGGACAAATGTGTTAGGCAGAAGTAGAGTGTATGTTAAATCCAATTATGTGAATGGTAAGGTAAGGGCATTGAATTTTTAGAGGGGACTATCCTTTATTGAAAGTAAATGTTTTAAGTAAAATCACCAGAACATTTAATTCACATAAACCTGTTTAATGTGGTGATCTGTTCTATAATGTTGGGTTAGTATGAATATTCTGAAGGAAAATAATTATCTTTTGGAATTTCAGGCTTTGGTGTTAGTTTATATTTAGGTGAAACAGTACATAATATTTGAAGTAGCTGATTTTTAGAGTTCTTTCTCTTTATAGTTCTATGAACAATTTATTAAAGTGTTTAGCCTGTTAAATATTTGGAAACTACCTCATGGGGTGTTGTGAGCATTAGTGAGCCTGTTTTTACTGATTCATTTGAGTCTCACAGCAACTTTTATTCGAAGTTCTCCCACCTCAGGTCACCTACATACTCATTAGCATCTCTATTACTTCTGTCTGTGCCTCCTGCTGGTCTAGCCTAGAGTTCATGCTACATCATTTTAATAGTCCTTTTATAAATACTTGCAACTTTCTTGCCCCTCTTTCCATATCAGCCTGAAAAAACTTTAAAGTCATTATCAAATGTTCGAATAAAATTTGAACTAACACTGACCAATGGTCTGAGGTTAAGGTAACAGAAACTTTAGCTACTGAGCCAAGGACATACTCTTCATGGAGGGTCTACTGTTCAAGGGAAGAAGTGATGCTGAGACCAGTGATGCCTGCTGGGAAGAGGTGGAGGACCTGAATGAAGAGCCAAGTAAAATTTTTTAAAAGTTTCAGGAAAAAAGTTGTAACAGGTTAACAGCAGGAAAAAAGAAGAAAAAACTTAAAAGAGGTTAGAACTAGAGGAACCTACAGATCTAATTCTGGAAGAAGGGTGAACCATATCTGAAGAAATTAGAGGAAGAGGCAGAATCTGAATTTGCTAGATAATATTTTAGTGTTAATACACAGTGTACAGCATAGGCACATGAACCCACCTCAGAGATATGACTGCACAGAATTTAGAAAGTCACAAAAAGATAAAATCACTATGAAAAATCTCCATTTGATGTCGGGTTTTGGAGAACCAAACCTCTTCCAGATTTATAGTTTATAATAGATTGAAATGTATATTTGGTTGGAAATTGATCAATGGGGAAAGACTACCAGTATATGGACTGTTTTGTGAAGTGACAAACAAATAGGCAAACAACACCGTGTGGTTCATGGAGATGAGTGAGGGGTTAAAAATTCAGTGAAAGGTAGAAGGTGAGGATCTTAAAAATTAGTTGTGAAGAAGACTGCTAATTTCCTTATAGTGGCTGAAAAAACCAGAGATGTGATATTAAGAGAGAAAATCCTCTGTGATGTGAAAGGAAGGTTGGTATTGCAGTCTTTGTATGACCAACTGATACACTCTTTTTTTATTTAAAGGTATTTATTTATTTATTTTTAGACAGGGAAGGGAGGGAGAAAGATAGAGAGAGAGAGAAACAAACATCAATGTGCGGTTGCTAGGGGCCATGGCTTGCAACCCAGGCATATGCCCTGACTGGGAATTGAACCTGCGATGCTTTGGTTTGCAGCCTGCACTCAATCCTCTGAGCTACGCCAGGCAGGGCCCAACTGATACACTCTTGGGAGTGCATTAGCTTTTCAGTTTATACTTAACAGAATGCTTCTGCTGAAGTTACTGAAAGAGGAAAGAAACTTTTACTGTTTTATTTGCTTAATTTAAATGTCTAAAGGTCAAGTCTCTTTTTTTCTCTGAAGCCCTATCAGGACAGCTTTCACAGTGTTTTGATACCATTCCTTTATAAAACATACCTTATAAACTGCAAGGTAACAGCTAAATTGCTGTTCAGTGGGAGTCATATGACTATGACTATAGATTTGTTATATTCAAATCTGTATTCAAATTTAAATTTGTTGAATTTAATATCAATGAAGTCTGTTTTCTGTATAAAATTAACCAATTACAGATTCTGCCATTGCGATTTTTCTTCTATGTCTTTATTTCAACCATCTCTAATTTTCTTTCTCTCCCCTTCCCCTTTTTTAAAAATCTTCACCCGAGGATATGCTTACTGATTTCAGACAACAAGGAAGGGAGAGAGAAACATTGATCCTTTGCTTCCTGATCAGGGATTGAACTTGCAACGCAGGTATGCTCCCTGACCAGGAATCAAACCCTCAACCCCTTGGTGCGTGGGACGATACTCCATCCAACTGAGCCACCTGGCCAAGGCCAACCATTTCTGATTTCTGTAGCTCAAATTTTTCAGATCTAAATTTCA